TCGAGTTAAAAATGTCGGATCTACGCGTGTTAACGATTCCGTCCGAAACAAAGGGATTTCGACGTGTTTTATTTGCGACGTACCGATTGATCTAGGGAAACGATAATAATTCCAGACACAGATTTGAATTTGTCGTGTGGAGTCTACTCGAGATCGACTCTCCCGCTTTTTTTCGATGGGACAAACTTAAAAAAAAAAACGGGAAAGTCGATCCCGAGCAGTAGACCTCGCGAGAAAATCTAAAACTAGTTTCCGAAATGCTTGCCGTTTCACCGGATCGATCGGCGCGCGTTTGGAATTGTCGACGCGCAAGACAAAGGCGAAAACCCGTCGCTTGCGATCCCCCCGATAGGATACGCTCGGCAACCGCGATTTATCGGCCGCAGTACGGCGGATCGTAAAAAAAAAAAAAAAAAACGAATTCTCCAACAAACCGAGATCGGCGTCGAAATCGCGGCCTACCGTTTGCCGGCCGCTCCCGCCGGTTTACGACGGATCGCCGTAAACCGATACTTCCCGAAAGGCGAGAGTCACTCGCAGCGGCGCCGGCCGTCGCGGACGTTCATTAAAAACCGCCGCCACGTGCGCGCGACGATATTGTCGTCGATGTTGTCCGCGGTCCGCGTGTAAATCGCGAAAACCGTTTCGAATCGATTGGCGTCGTTGAAACCGAGTCGCGGGTTGCGTACGCGACGACACGTGGCCGACGTTAACAAGCGCCGCGCGGCGGTCGAGTGGCTCGCAACAGTTCGCGCGGTTGAAAATACCGCGCGCCGTCCAAAAACGTGCGCACTGAACGCGATCTTCAACGGGTAAATTGAAAATATTAACAATAAAGCGAAAGAAAAAAAAAAAAAACAAACGAACGAACAACGCGAATACGTTATACGTTTTAATTGAAAACCGAGGGCGCCGCGGACAAAAGAATAATTACAATTTCATTAATTCGAGTTCGTTTTACCGCGCGTACGGTTCGCCCGTTGTTCGAAACGCGCCCGCGTAAAACGCCGCGATAATTGTCGTCCGCGTAATTCTATATGCGTGCGGGCGGGTAACCGGGGGAACGGAACGGACAGGTGCCGGGGCGCGAGTGGATAAAAAAAAAAAAAACAACAATATTGTATTGTTTACACGTGTCCCGTAAAACGCGAATAATTACGCCACGCGCGACACAGTTTCGTTAACACCGAGATCGACGGACACCGCGTTTCGCCGTTCGAATGCCGTGTTTTTTTTTTTTAAATTCGTCCGTCGCGGTATTGTGTCGGTATTTCAAACGTGTCGAAAACGACCGGCCGGTACGGCGATCACGAGTGCAGATCGATATTGTTTTTTTTAAAAAACCCCCGCCGCGAACGTCGAGATCTTTTCGGTTTTCCACCGTCCCCGTCCACTCGGACGCGCGTCGGCGCTCGAATCGAGGGGGGGCCGCGGGGCGACCGGTGTACGGTCGACTAGTCTCTCGGCAAACGTAAGCGCACGGTTCGCCCGTCCGTTTGACGCGGAACGCGGTGAAGAACGCGTAAGAAGGGCCCGTACCGATAAAAGTGTTCGGCGGAATTTCTTACCTCTACGATTATTTTTCGCAGAATAAACGAAACGTAATAAAACAGAAGCGGTAAACGTAGTAACAGCTACGCGTTTTCTCGGCGTCTTTTCCGGGGGGGGGAGGGGGTTAAGGGCGGGTTTCTTCGTAATTAAAAATACCATAAAGAAAACCGTAAAATAATCTCCTCATTGCGCCGGCCAGACGACGGCAGTTTCTACTACGAACCGTCGCCTCTGAAGTCGACGACCGGAACGGGATTACAAAAGTTGTTCGCACACACACACACACACACACACACACATAATGAAAGAACAAACACACCGTCGTAACAGAATCACGGCAGTAACCGTTTAGTAGACACTGTGCGAGCGAAAGTTAGCTTGCCAATAGGCAGTGTTCGTTTTCGGAAATTATGAAACGCCTAGTCATGTTTGAAAATCGGCGTGAGAGGTGCTCGGCCTCGCACGGGTCGGGCGGGTTGGGTCCGACAACTGCGAGGGACGTTGATTTTTTTTTTTCATGGCTTACAGTCCCTCTTTTTTTTTTTTTATCAATTCGAACGCTGGCTCTCGTACGTTTAAAAAACGCTCTTATAAGTCGCCCCGTGGAGCCTCCTCGCCTCATTACATCGTGTTCGCGTTGTTCGTTCAGTTCGGATTCCGTTACACAGTTTCGCTTTTGCTGCGGCGCTGCGTCGAAATCGCAGTACGCCGTGCGGTATACTATTTGTATTTGTTTTTGTTCTACGCGTGGAGTGTATTGCAGGTTTTACAACACGACTACACCGATGACGTGTGTTTTATTTTTCATTTTTTACGTCCGTTAATTGCACGTCCGCCGGAAACACGGCTACCGTTTCCTGCAGTGTAGCTGAAACGAAACGCGTGTATCCAGTTCGATGTGTCCAGAGGTCGTTTTGAATACAATTTCTTAAAAATTAACATAAACCCGGAAAAACCGGGAAATCGTACGCAATAACGGTTTCCGCGAGTTTCACGGTATGACATTGACAAATCAGGGCGTTTTTATCATTCGTTAAAAAAAAAAAAAAAATGGGATTTCCGAGAATAAAATAATGCCTTTGTGGAACCACGAGTAATAATGTTATCGTAACTAAATATCTAAAAAAACAAACATTGTTTCGTTTTGTTTTTTTTTTTTTTAATTTGTTTATGTCCTGTGTTTGCAAACAATATTTTGTTACCAGAAATCTTACTCCGGCTTTCATCTTTACGCTTGAAAACGATTGGAAACAAGACACGCCATTAACGTTGTACTCAGCGGCCAGTAAACAAATTTGAACTTGTTTTTGTAGGTTTTTTTCGAAAAAAATGTTCTAGTTTAAATTTTGACGAAATTCGCAGCACTTTAAAATATATTGTTATGTAATCAGTTCGGCTGAACTTCGCTCAGAATCGCATTTCTTCATCAACGATTTATCGTTGCGTACCGATACGTACAAAAATAACCGGCGCGCTTTACCCATTACGAATTTCCCACGGCTACAACAGCGACCCGCATAATACGCCCGTCAACGATATCGGCTCGTTTTTTTTTTTTTTCATTCCGTTCAGTTTTCCTTTCTACAATTGCCACGGTGACAATATTATCGGCCGGGGACGGAAAGCCGCGGTAAAAAGGAACCAAACGGGAGAAAAATTAGAAACCGTTCGGCGGCGAATCGGCTCCGGGACGCGATCGCGGGAAAACGCGTCGGCGGCGGTCGGTCCGTACGGCTTTGCGCTGTCGTCCATCGCGGCCGGGGAACCGCCGTGAAATACCGTGAAACCGTTTCGTTAGCCTAATTAAATTCGCCCGGTCGCCGTAAAACGGTCTCTGTATTGTGTGCGGCGTTATATTAATGCGTTTATCCCGCAGCCGGCGGGTCTCGTGTAATATCGGCGGACGTGTCGGATCGCCAAACCGGACGGCGGGTACCTGTTGAAAACCGGTGGAGAAAAACTAACCGCAAAGCGTTACGATCGCCGGCCGACGAAAACGTTATGTTTGTTCTTTTTTTTACCCTCTTTTTCTTTTTTTCTTTTTTTTTTTGGACCGTCCGACATGCCGTCGGACGTGTAAAATACGCGGGAAATTTACATACTTGGCCCGCGCGTGAAATACGTCGTTACCGGCCTCCGGGAACGGACCACCGGCGAAATTTAACGCGGCATTTGCGGCGACGGTGCCAAAAAAAGGTTTGCGGCCGCTCGGCGAACATGCCACTACGAAACCGCGATGGTTTTATTTATTTTTTTTTTTTTTTACGCGCGGGGCCCCCTGTGAAACCGTAGCCCCGTAAAGTTTCGCGAAAAAACTGTCGTTGAAACGGCGCTAATGAATTCAATATTACTGAGTACGCCAATAACCGTCCCCGTACCTCGGCCAGTGGCGCGTCCAGAAATTTTCACCGGCAGGCGTTGTGGCAAATAAAATCTATAAGATCACCCAACACGACTATGGGAATCGGTTGCACAAAAGCCGGATCCTAAAAAAAAAGCCAATTTCTGATCGAGCTTTTCCTCGTAACTTGGCTGATCACTTATATTTTCAAGGCGATGGAGTGGATATAACCCCTTACCTGTTCCAATGCGTACGCCACTGTGTCCTATGCAGTAGACACCTTTTGTGATTCGAAATTCGTTTTGCATCGGTCTTAGCGAATTCAATTGATGGTAAATACATATTGAAAAAATAGCGTTTAGAATTTAGGATTTTTACAGTCGATAACATTTTTTTTTAAGAGTGGGGGTATGGGGGTTGAATTTTTTTTTTCCTCTATGTCTGTAGATAATATTTTTCTAGCATTCTCTGTAACATTTCGGATCTAGTTTATGCATCCGGTAATTATTTATAAACTGGGCAAGTTACGGAAATAATGTTTTTAGATTCTGAGCGGAGGGAAGAAGCTTATGGTATTACAAAAATGTTTTTTTTTATTTGCGAACAACTTTTCAACCAGAAGACTTGCTCAGAAGACTTTTTCTTTAAGGAAACCGGTGTGGGGAAGTACTGTAGAGAGGTTATTTTTCGATTTTCTTAAGAGTTTTCTTAACAAATTTTAAAAACCGAAAAAAATGTGGAAAATGTTCGAATTATAAGTGCAGAACTTCGAATCAGTAATTTTACTCCAACTTTATTTGTTTATCGTTTAAAACACAACGGTCACTTAAAATTTAATGTCAATTTATTGAAATATTGCTGCAGTTTATGGAAAGAAAAAAAAAATAACGATTTTTTTACAAATAATATTATGGTTTGGCTTATAAATAGAATAAACAATATTATTCATACCTACATTTATTCTATTTTACTACACTAGTGTTGATTTTTTTTTTCCAAATCAACATTCAAATTGAAATCGAAATCACGTGTTCGTAATATTATTGTCATTTTAATAATATCTAAACTAATCTAAAAACGAAATTTAAACCGTACGAAAAACTTAAAAATGATTCAAAATTCGATATTCAATGACGGAGACGAAAAAAGCGATCTAAAATTAACTGTTAGCAATGACCAATTCGCTCGATCAAACGATTCGCGTATATTTTCCGCAGACGACTGTGATGCCGCGACCACAATAAAAAAAGTGACGTCTTTACGCTGCAACGACCTAAAAAGCAAAAGCAAGAACAAAAACGATCATAATCAAAAAGCGATAAACGCCAAATTGAATTTATATAAAAGCGCGAAAAATAAATTTCAACTGGAGTGTAATAGTCTTATTCAAAGCTACGAAACGATCAAGAAACTGCAATCGGAAGACGACGGTTTGAAACTCGAAGATCTTGAGACCACGGTAAATACGATCTTATTTCACTACCGGTCAACACATTTATTTTTCTTTATTGTGTAGGTACGTTAATATTGTTGTACACGCTATTTAGGTAAAGGACATTGTCGGAAAACAATTCGGAATAAAATTTCCAAAATCAAACGGCGACGCGTCGAACAAATATCATGCAATTTTCGTTTCTAATCCAAATCGATCGTCGTGTCTGGATATTAAATCTTCAACTGGTCATCGAAATTTAGATTTAGCGGTAAAAGGAATTTTCGAAGAAGCGTGGAAATGTTGTTTGGACATTTCTGAAACTAATGCGAAGTATGAATTTTGGCTTAAACTTATCATCGAACCGAATCATTTTTGCGATTTGTACGCTGTTAGAGAATACTTGATGAAAAATATGTTTAACGAAGAACAGACGACCGAACAGACGATTGAATCCAAATTGAATACAATCTATAATCATTTACAATTAAAAATTATAGATATAATAAACGCGTTCAATGAAAGTCTTATGCCTGAAAAACTCACGAACGAAAAAAATAGTGTGAGTATTGAAAAACCGTCGAATGAAGATGACTCTGAGAAATGTGATACAAATGCAGAGACCAAACTTCAAACGGCGATTGAAGATTATAAGCATAAAATGGAAGCGAAACTAAAGCTGTTAGAAACGGAAAATCAGAAATTAACCGAGAACGAAGCTAAATATTCTATACAAATAAAAACCCTAATGGGAGAGTTATCGTTTCGCAACAGAAAGTTGTCAAACGTTAAAGAACGCGTGGCGTTGTTAACAAAGGAAAAAACCGATTTGATTAGTACGATTGAAAAAATTGAAGTAAAAGACAAAAGTTTCCAAACGCTGCAAAGTCGATACGTAAAAGTGCAAGAAAGCAACGAACGTTTAAGAAGTATAATTGAAAACGAATACAACAGAGTTGTAATTTAAATTGTTCATACGAAATTAATAAGTAATTAAAAAATTTAAAAAAAAATACACGTCTATCTAAAATAATGTAATATAAGTATATTACATTATTTTGTAAACTCCATTGCAAGTGCACCTATTTAATCAAGGTACACTTGGATTTTGAGAAAACAAACGATCATAATATGTCATTTGTTGGTATTCGTAAAAAATTATTTTCAAAGCAAAAAAATATCTTGTATAATATTATAGACAAATAATGTTTGCAATCTTGCGAATAGGTTCTAACAAATAGTAGTTAGAAAACCCACACGCGTGAGGTGCGCACTTTTTGTACGTTTCCGAATTACCAGATTTCTTTTGAAGTTGTTGACGTTGTTCAACTGTATTTCACTTCTATAACCTATATGGTTTTTTTTTTTTTTTTTAATTTTATCTTTTGAAGTTAATCAACAATACGTCCTCGAATCCCCTCTCTTCTATTCAATAATCAAATCTAACTCGTTTACTGCAATATTCTATGCGGCGTTTGTTATTCGATCAAAAATAATTAAAATAAAGTACTTGTATCCGTTTTTTTTTTTTTTTTTTATTTGCCAATATTGTGCAGTATACCGTCACACAACAATCACTACACCGGCCCTCGCTAAAACGCAGTATTCGGGGATTCTCGCTTTCTGTTTATGTTTCGATTAATATACACACACGATTTTAAAATACAAATTTTTCGTTCTATTCGTCAATGTAAAATATTGTGGTGTTAATTTTTACTCTTATTCTTACCCGTTGAGTAACGTCATACATTAATAAATAATAGTAACTGTTATAAAACAGCAATGCAGGAAGATAAATAAGAACGCGTGCAGGCCATTTGCACCGTGCAACCTGACGCGGAACATCGATTACCAAACGTTTGATTTTCGTTAGGTGAATAAATTATCGATCAAAAAACGATCAGAGAATTACGATAATTACGCGACATTATAAATTAAGGTCGTTAGATGTTCGTAATTTGTTTTGTTTGTCGTAAACACGAACGCGGCGTAGCGGATTCGCCTTCAATCAACCCGATCGATGTAAATATATTTAAATTCAGCATGAAAGACCTACACGTCATGCGATCGGTCATTGTGCCAATTTTTCCAATTGGATTTACGTTTGTTTTATTAAAATGTATACAATAAACATTATTTTATAACCAATTTAAACATTTTTCATTGACCGTAGAGATTAAATATAATTTTAAAAACTATGCATATTAAACAAAAAAAGGGCCGACATATTTCACACGTCGGTGCAGCAGCTGTTATAGACGGGAAGTGTAGATGATGGGCTACAGACGGGAACTTAATGTATATGGTGTCTGTAAGCAACGATAAACCGTCGTTAACGAAAAAACGACTCTGAGCCGAGTTCGGTTGGTAATATGGTTTTGTCAACAATACAATATACAGCGTTGTGTCGTATAATGGTAAAAAATAATTGAAACAATGTGCGTTTCCATGACAATAACGATTGTTGAAAAAAGATTAAAATAATAGAAAATTAATATAAAAAAAAAATAATAAAAATAAAAACGACGTGATCAAATTTTCAAAATATTCCGCGGATTTCGTGATTACTATATTGTCGTGATCTTTTTAGATTTTGTTCGGTTTTACGCGGATACAATTGTTTCGGCCGAGCACGTATAGTAGCGAAAAAAAAAAAAAATTGTCGACTTAACGTTTAACACTTTTTTACGTTAAAATTTTGACGAAAACCGTAAACATCACGACGTATCATGAGATCAATAGTTATCATCGTCAATATAAAGAATATGAAAACATATTTTTTGTTTCGATTGATTCAAAGGACGCGTAATTATATTTTGGATACTCTATTATTTTCTAGGGGGGGACACGCCCCCTCTCGCTCTCTCCAACGGGCGCCCATGATCAAACCACGTTTGACCGGAGTTTGCTCGGGACCGCATACCGCGTATACACCACGCGATGATTTATCGTCGCGCGCAGATACAAATTGAATAACTCTAGTAACGTGTATCTCACCTCCTCCCCGTCCCCGCCGGAAATAGCGGTACGTCTATCGGCCGTATCTGTAATTTTTTTTTTTTTTTGCTTTTTTATTATCATTATTATTTCGATCGGGTTTCTCGGTAAACACGAAAAGGATCGCGGCACGGCGGAGATAGGTCGCGCGCGTCCCGTGCCGCCCCGTCCCCGCCGGGAGGAAAAAGAAAAACACACGCGAGAACTTATTACCGAATCGCAAATATCATTCGATCGGCAAACACGGCGAACGCGCGTTTATGTAAAGAAAACACGGTTGCACCGCCTTTACGACGTAAAGTAAACACGCGTCTACCCCTCAGGAACCGAAATATGATGTATTCCGATTGTTCGGCCGATATCGCGACGGCGGCGTTTTTCCCGTCGCAGTTTTCCGCCGCCGCACGCGGCCGTGGTTTTTTTCTACGACTCCCCCCCGGTGGCGGACGGAAATATGTCGTCGCAAAGAAATACAGTACGATACACGTTTAATCGAAACACCGAAATGCCGACATACGGGTCGCAGCGGTTCGTGTTGTCGGCGATTTCGACGGCGCATTATCGTCAACGAAATGTCGACGCGACCGATTTTATTGTACAAACCGCGACGGACTCGAGACGACATTATACCGTGCGGTCTGCGTACCGGATTCGCCGCCGGCGGAAACGACGTGAAAATCCGCGCCTCGCGTCTATAGGCGCACGCCGCACATCGGTCGCTAAAAGAGAAACGTTTAAACAGGCACCCGAAATAAGGTTCGCCGCACGTTATTCCGATTGTGAAGTTTCGTTGTTTTTTTTCGCCGGCATCCGTGAATCCCTCAGAGTCGCCGCGGTCGTTGTTATTGCGTTCCTCCAAAACTGCGCTGGTCTCGAACCATCGCTCTCCGTTCTTACGTTCCTAGGCATTCGAGATCCCATTCTACTGCGTCTAACCGTCGCTTTTGCGGTTCGCCTCAGGGTCTCATTGACCTCGTTTAGAAACGACGTGTACGATTTTTAACGACTGACTAAAATATCAAATTTATTAAGCGCGTGTGTCAATTGTCGGTTTCCTGTTTGTGTTTTTTTCTAGATAAGTAGAATATTAGCGAAATTGCGGATGTACGTCCGTTTAATAGTGCGAAGAATAATCGGATAATGGACGTCCGCATAATGTACGGTGTTTATTCGTATACTCGGAACGCACGCAATTGGATAGGACGAGACAGAACTTCGGGAGGACGCGCGAGAAGTTCGGTAGACGTATCCCGAATTTCGAATTAAAGGATTAAACGGGGTGGATATGTAAATTGTGTTAGTTTCCGGTCTGTTCCAGAAATTGTTTCCGTTATCGCGAAAGTCGGCGGAAGAAGGTTTCGCGGTCGGTATATCAGCAGCTGCGACGGAGGGGGCCAAAATAAAACAGACGTTCGCATTCCCGACTAGCGAGCTCAGAACCACAACAATATCGTTGATAATGTAAGTTCTCTCGAAAATTCTCAAAATAATTAACGATAGTTTCTTTTTTTTGAAATATACGTACAAGTATATTTTAGTCGTATTTTATTCGTAAAAAACGTGTAGAACATTACAATTCAAAAAATCCACGAGATGCCAAATTTCTGCTCGAGGCGAACCTTTATTCGGTATATCCATCGATATTTTTATTTGTTCGTCATCTAAGTCCTTTTTTTTTTTTGGTTTTTTTTTTTAATTTCCCAGTTACTTCGGTGACAAGGAAAATACCATCGATAAAACTATTCTGTTCATTACCTGTTTGTTTCGCCGTTTGCAATGATTTATCTTTGTATGCTTGCGTACAGCAAATAAACTAAATAACCGTTTGTATCCCAACCTCCCAACTATCCACCTACAAGGGCGGTAAATCCGTGAACTTTTTATTTCGTATTACTAATATTTCAACGATCCGACACGAATCAATTCAAATCGATTTTCTTTTCGACGATAATTGTTTAGGTTCTGTTGGAAACGAAAGGTGTCACAAGTCGTTGTCGTATAAAATCATCGAAACGTGAGAAATCGTTTTTTCAATAGGTACTCGCAAAGATTTTAGAACGTTCAGTTAACGACCGTAAACGGTACGTCGTAAATGTTGTTATTTATTTATTTTTTTTTTTTAACGCTAAATATTTAACGCAGCCAACCCAGTGGCCAGGGAGGAAATTGTTATCGCGGCGAACAGTCCGAAAATTCGCGTTTACCGGACGGACATTCGCACCGAACGCTCGGTTTTCTCCGTCCCAGACGGTTTAATTTGTTTTCTGTTCGCCTAAACGAACGACGCCTTGCAACCGAGTTGTCGGCCAAGGACTATAAAATCATCAAAACGATTGTGCCCGTCCGTCTGCGGAAGTCAGTTAATTTCGCGATTATTGTTATTATTATTGCCACCGTGCATACATTATAGCGGGTGACGGGCGAGTAGCGGCGATTCCCGCGGGTCTCATGAAGACGTTCGCTAACGTCCGTTTCCCGTAAAACATATTTAGCATACCTAATAATGTTCAGAAGCGTTTTCCTTTGTATCATTAAAGGCCCGTCTCGAATTCGACGGCCTTCACTCCGTCTTAAGTGAGTTTTTATTTTTTTTTTTTTTCGTTATTGTTCAGCAGTAAAAGAACTCGGGAAACGAGAATTTTCAGCGCGCGTCCGCCGAGATGAAAATTAACAATAATTTACGAATATTCGTCTCGTCACGTCCGAGTTTAATATCGTTAACTTTTCCGCGTTTCGAGTCGTTTGAAACGGAAATTATGTGCGAATGTTTTGTAATTTATTTCGACGCTGCGTTACGCGTACAACTACAGTGTAATGCACAGTAGATCGATACGCGAGTGAGTGTTGATAACGAACAACGAAAAACATGGGAAAACATTAAAAAAAAAAAAAGCCTATTTAAACAAAAACCAACGGGAATGCGAATAGACGCTTCGATGAATACAATATGCGTGTACATAAAAATAAAAT